TATCAAAGGTACATATATCACAGGGTACATATATCACAGGGTACATATATCACAGTACATATATCAAAGGTACATATATCACAAACATTTCTCCATTGACTGTATAAATTGTTTCTGTAGTAGATTGTTATTAGAAGAGCGACATGTATAGAACACTATCATATATTATGTCGTGTGTTACTGTACATTGATACTAGAGGAAGACGTATTGTTAGCAGGAAAAGTTTGAGGTCCTTAATATGCCTCTCTCTCTCTCTCTCTCTCTCTCTCTCTCTCTCTCTCTCTCTCTCTCTCTCTCTCTCTCTCTCTCTCTCTCGACCTAGACACCCTACACCTACTCTCACTACACCTCCCCTATCCTCCCTTTTTTCTTCCCTCCTATCCCTTTGCCCTTTCCTCGGTGAGAGAGGGATAATCAGGGAAAAGCCTAGACGTGAAGACAATAGAAAAAGGAAACTAATTATAAATCTCCAGGGGGTAGAGTCTCGAGGTTTTGTTCACGGAAGTCGACGGGCGACATCTTGTCCTTCAGACTCATCACATATAAGAGTAATTAGTATTGTTTCTTGAGGTGAGAAAAATAGGGGCAGCGAGCTGTCTTATCTGAGAATAAAAGGAGCGTTGACCTAAAATTAATTTGAGAGAAATAGGGGTACAGTATTGAACTATCTCTATATGTGAAAAATAGTAAGGGTTGAACGAGAGTTAAATGTAAACAAAAATAAAATAAAAGCGTATGGAATTATACTTCAATAAATAAAAAGATAAATGACCCTTAAACAATATATTGAAAACTCTTTCAATAATATATAGAGATAAAGAACTAACTTTAAATGGGTATATAATTATCCCTAACCCACCACCTGCTGGGAGGTTGTTTATCAAAGTGAGGCGTCACTGTTAGTTTAAATTCCCTCGGCTTGATATGTTGATGTTTTGACGTCGTCCGTCACAACACTTTCGGTCGTTTAAACACCATTTTAAATATTACAGTCTGCACTTTAATATTACAATTCTTTCCTTCAAATGCGTTTTACGGAATATTTCATAAAACTGACAATATTGTTACTCTATAAAAAAACAACACTCAAATACTCAAATGCAGACCATTGGGGTAAAAAGATAGATTTACAATAAAATGAGATAAATAAGGAATCGTGGTAATAATAAAGGGCCAATTGCAAGAACAGTCGTGGGGTGTACGATGCCATTTACGATGACCTTGCCCTGATCTTGTTTCAGTTATACCACCCTTTTGAAGCTCTGGAGAGATCTCGAAGTTTCGATATTTTGAGTACAGCACTAGCTAATAATTCCCACCAGGAAACTTGTTTCGAGACTCCTCCAAAGCTTCGAAAAGTGCAGAATTCCATGTGTTAAAGGCGATATTGCTGAAAAAAGACCAGGGCAAGAAGGTCATCGTAAATGGCGCCGTACACCCCATAACCGTTCTTCCAATTGGCCCATCTCTATCAAATAACAAGGTATTATTTTACAAGTGCACTCTCAAAAGATGTTTGCAAATGAATAGTTACTATAGGTAGATCTTACCCGTCTCTTATCGTTTTTTCTTGTGGCATTTGTCTCCCCTCGGGTTAAGAAGTTAGGTCAGGTTCTATTAGGTTCATTATTATTCATTTGCGACGGAAGTGTATAAAATGAAAGTTACTCAGAGTGATGAGATGTATCTATTACGTGCGTTAAAACTTTAAAATAGTTGAGAGTGCACTTGTAAAAATTTACCAATAAAAGATTCCCAATTTCCCACTTAGGTAATAATTTTTTTTTAAGCAACACTGAATAACAATACTGTTATAATTATTGTAAATCTGGGCTTATTTGCTTTTACTTTCACTGTTACTCGTTAAAATGCACAATAATCAGAATAATATAAGTGGAATGCTCTGGCAAATTCACATTTTCACCAGATACAAAACACAAACATTATGCTCAGGCGACATTACGATACTTGAGGAGCGTTAGTTTGTAATGTTATATTCACATCTTTATAATATTTAAGATTATACAGATACTAATTAGTATCTACTCACCTTACTGTAGGTCGTCTTCTTGGGGTCCAGCAACAACAAAGTGAAGAAGGAATTACAGATTTGCGCATAGGTAACATTTTCTGTTCTATTCTCGCCTGGCAGATTTGGGTAATACAGTACTTCTCTTCAATACTTCTCCCTCGCCTCTGTTTCATCACTATCCTCATTATCACTATTGTTAACTGAGAAATAAACTCCAGAGATTCATTAATAATGTCCATCGCACTCACTGTACAGTATATAATTTTTCGATGATATACTTTATAAGTCTAATTGAGTTGACGCGTCACACAATTAGTCACAGGCAGCTCATCCTTCCCCCACGCTCATAACACTGACGCAGAGTGGAGACTGAGGACTAATACTGAGGGAACATTAAGCATATTACTTGTTTGATTGGCTGAAGTCTATTGTGGTGCAACAAAAACTAATCTACAATATTTCTGGTTATGACTGTTGATGAGTAAATTTATTTAGGTTTTTGTAAAGCTATTAAGTGAGGCGTGTAGTATTGCCAAGAACACAAATATAAACAATTAATGATTTTTACGAGGTTACATTTTTAGGAAAAAAAACACAATGAAATTGCCATTGACCTATTTTTCAAACTGCTCTAAACTGATTTCACTGACATGGAGTCTAGCACATAGTTGACCCATCATAATTAAACTTCCTTTTTCAGGCGATGAATAGTTTTATGAATTCTTTTTATGACAATCACTCTTGTCACCAGACTGAACCAACGGTATCAAACACATATAAGGTGTTAGGCCCGTGGCTTATTTTGAAAGATGGGGAGTACTTATTCGAGGTTGTGTAAGTTCGGGAATTTGCTTGCTGGGCCGATAGCCAAGGCTGTGCTGTACTGTACTGCTTTCCTACGATACGTGAATTTGAGTTCCCAGACAGACTATTCCTATGCATGATATAAATTATGCAGTATGTTCTAAATTATATAGACACAACAAGATAGTAAACTTTGGGAAAGCTTTGTTGTCTGTTTTCACTGCGCGTGTGAGGAGCAACGTCACCGTAGTCCAAAAAAATGCTTGTCAACAAACTCCGCGCTAAAAACGAGAGACGGAAGGTTACTGAAATGTTTTTAAGAAAATTAGTGTAAAGCTCACTGGCGATAAGAAGAAAGATTATATATAATAGACAGGGTAGACCAGAAACAGATGTAAGAGACGACACAACTACTTCTAAAGTGCGTCGTAGACAGGACATGCAGGAGACAGATTTGCACCACAGCTTATTTCATCATAAGATAAACCACCCAAACTTTTACCGAACAAAAACTAACAGAATATAACATAACATACCCAAACCTAGCCTAACCTAACCTAACCAAGCCTATCCTAATTTACACCCCCCCCCTAGGTTGTGTTAAGGTGTTTAATCATCAGGTGAAATAAAGTGGGGCTAATCTTCTTGTGATCCAACTACCGTCTACTATTAAGACATTGCAATAAACGTGCACAAAGAAAGAAAAATGAAAAACTATTATTAATTTCCGTATCATCGTCACACGTTGGGCTTTACCCAACTAAATCGAATCTAACACACTTTTAACCTAGTCTATTCTAACTTACCTCTAACCTAACTTACCTTAACCAAATCTAACCAAATTTAACCGACCCCAAAATGGATTCAACATAACATAACCTAAACTTAACATACTGCTCCCCAAATATGAAGTAACTTAGCATGTTCTAACATAACCTACCCTCAATGTAACTTAATTGAATTTAACATAACGAATCCAAACTTACCCGTAATATAATTTGGCCTAACCAAATACACAGTTTTTGTATGGAAAATCATGCCCGGTTCCAAGTCCTGACATTAGTTTGGACCTCTCGTGTTGCACTGCCTATTGATCGAGGTGACAGAGACGAGACTGAAAGTGGGACAACACTCCTTTGGTCGTGAAACTTTGTTGTGTTGTTATCGCTCGTGTAATTCATGTTTGACTCTCTCTCTCTCTCTCTCTCTCTCTCGTGAATCAGAAGAGTAGGACGAATTGTAATGTAACTTTCCATCCTTATTTTTAGGTAAGGGCCGTCTATCACCCTCCCTCCTTCCCCCCTCATGATGGAGTGGGTTCCGTGTGTCCTCATGATAAATACGGTATACCAAGAGGTTCTCTCAGCCAACCTGACCTTCCTGCATGACCCTCCCGTTCATTTCTCCTCCCCCTCTTTCTCTCTCTCTCTTATCACACACAACACTTTAACAAAGCGGCGGAGCAAAGTGTGACAACAACAGACACGAAGACACTTACGAGGTGTAATCTGAGTGTTGACGGTGAGGCAACACTCGCCCGTGAGTGTTGAGGCACCGCCACAGAGTATAGTCTTTCCCCTGGCCCATTCGACCGTCGGCGCAGTATTTCGTTGCCTTTCAATAATTTAAGACAGTTTTCGAGATCTGATATGAAAGTTGGTAAACTGATTCAAGTCATGTGTAAATCAAGTTAAGAAATCAGTACACTGTATTACTGACTTATTTAGTAGAATTATAGGAAGCACTGTACATCACCTTCAACGCCTGTGTAATGATGACCCGTATCCTCGTTCTGGTTTCAGTTTCACAGTTTCTCGCGCATGAGGGCAGATACATGCATGTACATTGAGAGTACGTATTCACATTTGAATGTTATTTTTTCTAACCTGAGCGATAAGTAGAACAGTTTCCTGCCTGGTCGACCATGTTCTACTGGTTGTTAGGAATTATGAATATTTTTCAAAAGAAAATAAGTTGTCTTGTGTCACAATTCACTTAATATTTAATAATTTTAATATGTAGGCGGCCCGGCACTTAGGTAAAGGGCACCCCACACTATCAAAAGAGCTTTACTCTGTACAAGTTTATTCCTTGATACCTTCATTTTACTCTGTACAAGTTATGCATTACCAAATACTAACTACCTACATCTTCCACAGTACACTCGTTGCCCAACCTGACGGTGCTGAGTCTGAGTGGGTGTAGTAAGATCACGGATGACGGGGTAGAGCTTATCGCCGAGAACCTCCGTCGCCTCCGGTCACTGGACTTGTCTTGGTGTCCCCGCATCACTGACGCCGCCCTCGAGTACATCGCCTGCGACCTTAACCAGCTGGAGGAACTGACGCTAGACAGGTGGGTTATTATTGTTCTGTCTTGACCTGACAACTTATTCTCACTTATTCATGTAACTAACTGTTAGACGTGTTGACCTAAAGCGTGTTGACCTAAAACAACTGTTGCTCTAAAGTAAGTGTTGATCTAATTAAAACAAGTATTAATTTAAAAATGTTGATCTTAAACACGTAATTGATCTGATGTAAATGTTGAAGCTTAAACAAGTGTTGATCTAAGACATGTGTTGGCCTCCACAGATGTGTGCACATAACAGACATCGGTGTGGGGTACATATCCACGATGCTCTCCCTGTCTGCACTCTTCCTCCGCTGGTGTTCACAGGTGCGAGACTTCGGGGTCCAACACCTGTGCTCTATGAGGAACATACAAGTGCTCTCTCTCGCAGGTCAGTGACGAACGCCTCATACACCCATACACTTAGAGTAACATGCTTCATACATCTTACTTAAACAGGTCATACATTCATACATGCATACTCTTATACTGTACTAACATACCTCATACACTTAATTCATACGCTCATACATACATACACTTACATGCCTCATATACCTTACTTATACAGGTCATACACTCATATATTCATACACCTACACTAACATGCCTAATACACCTTATATAGTTATATAGTTCATACACTCATACATAAATACATACACTCACCTCACATACCTCCTCATACGCTCAGAGCCACACACCAGACTGTCACAGTAGACGAAGATGAACTGGTTGTCTAAATAGTAGGTGTTTCCTTCCCTTGGCCTTGTAGGGGAGCTCACCAAGGCCTAACCTAACCTAACCTAACCTAACCTAACCTAACCCTTCCCAGGTGCAGTGTTAGGATATTTAATCATAAGGTGACATAAGCTGTAGGGGTTAATCTTCAGGAGATATTTTTTCTTCTATACTGTGTGGAGAAGAATGGCGTATTCCTATATGCGCGGATATTACAGAACGTAAGGCTTGTCTCTCCTGAGGGAAAGTAATATATTTCCATTAATTAGTCCTTAACTTGTCTTTTTTAAGAGAAAATGGTAAACCTGATTGTGTTTTGCAGGTTGCTCGTTGGTGACGTCAGCGGGTTTGTCGTCGTTGGTTCAGCTGCGACACCTTCAGGAGTTGGAGCTGACCAACTGCCCGGGAGCAACCCCAGAGCTCCATCATCACCTGCACCTACACCTGCCCAAGTGCCTCATCATTGAGTAGCTCCCACACACAATATTAGGACTCACCAGCCACCAGACAAAACGGGTCTTAAAAAACACACAGAAAAATAGGTGCACTTTACCATGACTCGTCACAAAACAAAACGGGTCTATTAATAAAAAAAATAATAAATTGGTGCACTTCCATGACCCGTCACAAAGGAAAACGGGTTTAAAAATAAAGTTAACAGTCACTGTGCTACGGCTCGTCACTCGTCACAAAGGAAAACGGGTCCGTAGATAGTCCAAGTTGTCCTCAATCGGTGGCCTCATACTGTTACCTCTCAGATTAAATGAGGAGTATCGCCTGTGTGAGAGGTGACAGGGAGAGGTACACCGAGGCCCTCAAATACCTTGTGTTATGTAAGCAGAAAAGGAGAGTAAATTTTTGCACAGTGTAGTAATCCAGATTTATAGATAAATGTGATAGACTTCATCACGAATATAACATTGTATATACACATAGTAAAAAACACTGCATGATGGTGTGAACAATAATGTGTGAAAAATGTTGAAGATGTGGAATAACCTGACAGAGACAGACGATGTTGATGTGTACATACAAGAACTGTAGCGTTTTGCTTCAGAGAAAAATGCATGAACCACTCAAATCTAAAAAAGGAAATATTCCATTTTATGTGCTCATTACTATTATTTTATTGTATGAAGCATGTGGGTGTGATGTGTCACGTGGAGGCTGCAGCCAATAAGCAGTCCCACACTATCTTGGCTTTTGAAACGATCCAGTGAGCAACTACTGTACTTGATAATATGTGTCTTTCATGTACGTAGTCAAGACATAATTCTTCTAGTTCTCATCCCTAACCTCAAGAAAGTACAAGTGGTCCGAAGAAAGGTGACCATACTTGCCTCAAGGTTGCAACAGAAACCCATTATATATAATACATATATATATATATAAAACTTTTATGTGTCCAAAATCTTCCTGACTCTCAGACCAGCCAGTTATTATAATCTGCCAAGCACTGTGTTTGGTGTTTTGAGACGAGATGTTTCCTTGGGTGTTCATCACGTTACAGTTTTAATACTCCCGTGGATGTGATCAACTCTTTTAAGGTGTGATGATGATGCTCTCCTGTTTACTTCACTCAGATGGGGATTTTTAAACTGTTCGGTAATGAGAAGAGTCTGGACCAGTAATCCACCTTAACAGTTCCAAAGTGTCTTGATATGCGCTTGTGTTAAAAGACTTGAGTCCGATAAGGAAAGATCTTCACCTTAGAGTTCAATAATATTAGTATGGTCTTCTAAAAGAAACAAAAATAACTAAAAGAAAAAAATGAAATTGGCAGATTAAGGTTATTTGTCTGATATGCGGTATGTAAATCAAAATATTGTAAGTGAAGTTTCAATTTACATGTGATGTGTAATTAAGGTGTTGTCAAGACTTGTAGGGACGACCTAGTGTACCTGTATACTATGAAGAGTTTGCTGCGGAGGCAGAGAGACACTGTGACTAGTCAGTAATTGTACCTCTCATGATCATACAAAATTTGAAAGTAGTTTATATGTTGCATGAGTGTCATATAATCTATATTATCATTCAAAAAAGTTGAAGAATTTATGTTTTCATTCAGGTAAAACAGAGAAGTTAAAGTAAGATCAATTTACTGAAGACAAAAATAACAATTGATGCCTGGTGCTAGATATGTGAAGGAAGTCCCAGAAGATGGTCTCAAATTCTATACGATTTCCAAAGTTTATATTCAATGATTAAAGCTTTAAGAAACATGTGACGTACAATTACGAGACTTAGAGAAAATTTATGTGTATTACAAGACATGAGGCAAATTTATTACTTTCTTCAAAAATTGTCTCACGTTCTCAGTTACTGTAAACACAAAATTGCATTACATTATGCATTACAAACTTAACGTTTTTTTCGGTAAGGAAATTAATATTATCGCGTGCGACTGGAGTTGAATATGCCAGTAGTGTGTGTCAAGATTTCCTACATCAAATGTTAGCCTTTGAACAAGCTAATATGCTTCGTGTTTTACAATAAATTTTGTATATAAATATGTTTTCTCACATTTCTGCAAAATATATTATGCTTTGAGATAGCTTTAAATTCATATAAATGAAACCTATGGGACACGACACTACAGCGTTTTTGTGGAATTAAGTGTCATGCACAGACAGTTTTTGCTGTGCTTAATTATTTTTTGCAAACATTCCACAGTGATGCCATTCATAGTGTGGCTACCAGTTATGATGTAGCTTTTTAGTCGATCAAGCTATTTGTAATGCATGTTGCATTATTGACCAATTGTCGCCCAAGGTGACCATCAGCCATGGTGTTAAAAACTTGCTTCCGTTGGTGGTCGCCCAGCTAAGACCCCCACATGTTAACAAAGAAAACGTATCTTAATCTGTGTGTAAGACCCGATACTAATCAATAAAACTCTTATAGTTATATAATACATAAAATATCTAACATATTTTGTTTAGGGTCTTTCATTAATACATCATTACGTGGAATTTTTAGCCTTTGGGGAAGGCTTTAGTTACGGCACCAACCAAGTAGTCAGCTTTTAATACATACGACTGGACAATGCTGCTGTCTCCCTCCTCCCGAGTTGGTCACACACCTCACCATCACTGAATCATCTCCATCCAGTTTTCACTTAAAATGTATTGCTTACTTAAATTTCTAAAGAAACGTAAAATTATGAGTGAGAAGAGGGAGCCACAGGCTGTCCCAAAAGTGAGGGTGCATAGTGCGTTGCTTCTATCACAAATCCTAACCAGCGGGAGATTTAATGGTTTGCGCCACTGATACATAACACAGCTAAACCATTAAAAAATTAATGTGTAAATATTATTAACCGATGATCTGACTTATTTGTAACATTTACAGAGTGTGATGCAGTGTGGTAGTTTGGGTCCTCCTCGAGTAAGCCACAGCTCAACTCAAGTTCCATAGATATTAGACTTTCTCTCACCAGCAGGCCTGGGATTAGCTTTAAGAATTATACGTAATCTGTTACTCATTAGGACAGATATAGACATGGTAGGAAGACTACCTGACTAGGTGGACCACGGTGTGGTGGACGAAAGTAGCAGGAGCTGATTATGTAGTCTTACGCCCTTCATACCTCAGCTCTTATCAAAACAAAGAAGGAAAATCTAGTAGCTGGGTGTAGTTTGTAAGGACGTGCACAACGAGGGTGTTTGGCTTTGTCTGGCACTTACAAGAGCTGAGCATTTGCTTCTAGTAAATAATGATCCCACGTCCTCCTAACCTAAATTTAAACATGGTAATGAAACGTTGAACACTATAGAGATTTTTTATCAGTGACATTGAAATCTTAAGATCATTTGGAGTTTATTTTATCAAACTTATCATGCAATTTTGCTTATTTCTGTTTCCCCATTTTGCACTGAATGAAACCATGGTATGTGAGAGCAGTTTTATTACTGTACTGATTCCAGTTGAGCAAAAAAACATGATAATAGTGAAGTTGAGACTCGTGTCACTGAGGGTACAATCTAAATTGAGAACGATGCCAGTCTGATGGTACTCCCGACCTTTGGATAAATGTCACTCGAAAATTCCTTTTTCCCTTTAAACTTTTGTCTGTATCCTGAGTAGAATAACACAGCCTCTGAATCATTCCCATACTTTTAAATGACTGATAATATCCCCCACCCCAAAATAAATTCTTGTTCACTCGAGCACTTTAATCATCTCACTTAATCATACATTACTTTAAAAGTCTGTTATTTCTTAATATAAACAAATGACAAGCGCTTACTTGGTGTGATGACTGAACCTGCCAGTGCTTCAAAGGTCGGAGGAGATATTGTTAACTTCATTTTTGTTCCTTGGCCTCATCTTTCGTTCTTTGTATTTTTTTTGTCTTCTTTGACATATCCATTTACTCCTCGACTACTCCCTGTTATCCTTGACTTCTCCCTTTGCTCCTCAACTACTCCCTGATATCCTTGACTTCTCCCTTTGCTCCTCAACTACTCCCTGTTATCCTTGACTTCTCCCTTTGCTCCTCAACTACTCCCTGTTATCCTTGACTTCTCCCTTTGCTCCTCAACTACTCCCTGTTATCCTTGACTTCTCCCTTTGCTCCTCAACTACTCCTTGTCTTCCTTGACTTCTCCCTTTGTTCCTCGACTACTCCCTGTTATCCTTGACTTCTCCCTTTGCTCCTCGACTACTCCCTGTTATCCTTGACTTCTCCCTTTGCTCCTCAACTACTCCTTGTCTTCCTTGACTTCTCCCTTTGTTCCTCGACTACTACCTGTTATCCTTGACTTCTCCCTTTGCTCCTCGACTACTCCCTGTTATCCTTGACTTCTCCCTTTGCTCCTCAACTACTCCTTGTCTTCCTTGACTTGTCCCTTTGTTCCTCGACTGCTCCCTGTTATCCTTGACTTCATCTGTGGCATCTATTCTATACTTACGTGTGGCCAACATAACAATCTCTATGTACAATCAGACTGGCTCATCTACTATAGACCCTAAGACCTTTAATGGCCGTCTTAGGTAAACAAAGCATTCAAGACACAATCAAAATAATCTCATTGGATGATTACACTTGAGAGTCAATTAGTTGGTTTGATAATTTCAGTGAATCGGTGTGATAATGTAGTTAGTTACCAGCTATAGTAGGGAAGCTTATGACTGGCATTTCAACTCCATCTCTTAGAATATGATTACCATGGCACCGTGTAGTGAAAGGTATTTCATAAAAAAAAACCCAGATTATCTATTGACGTACTGTACCTAATATCTGCCCTAAAAAACTCAACTTTATGATCAAGAAAGTAAGAATTGTGTTAAGAAACTTGTATATGTGTTAAGAAACTTGTATATGTGTTCAGAAACTTGAATCTGTGTTAAAGAGACGTGATCGCGTGTTAAGTTAAAAATGAACTCGAGTTAAAAGAGACATGATACACTTCTTAAAGGAAACAAAAGAAGAATGTGTTGAGAGACGTGAACCTGTGTTATGATCTGGTGTATGGGAGGCACTGTAGTGAGGGACAAGCGGTAGATAAACAAAAAACTGTATCCCACACTTCCACACACACCTACTGAGACACATCTGCCAAGAATATCACGTCCGAAAGAAGAAACGGAGGGAAGTCTAGATTATTTCTTCACGGAAAATAAAGGAAAATAGAAAAGTGAAGATCGCTTTCATGGCACTTGACGAGAACACTGTAGGTTAAGGCCTCTAGAACATAGCCATTGTTTTTGTTGGTTTGCTTTGTTGTCTCAAATGTATTGGAAATAATGTAATAATGTAAATACTATTTTGTACCTATCTTCATGAGAAATGTTAGATACACACACACATATATATATATAAATATATGATGTATACAAGAATAAAATATCATGTTATGCCTCCATCATCGCAGAGAACCCATTCATTAACGCTGTCCTTCGCTCTCGCCTTCATCACTAATTGTTGGCGACTCGCCATGACTTGGTAGTCGTGATAATTTGATGGATTTCTTCTCACAAACATATCTCCTGCTTGCTGCGACATGCGACTCATTATTATTTTGGGGCTTCCTGCCAACAACTGTCAAGGAAATCCATCGATAAACAAAGGCTCGTACTGTCACAACACAGCCCTAAGGAAAATGTTTCTCTTGTCCGTCGCTGGCCTTAAGTGAGAGTTCAGTCCATTAAACTCTTACACCAGCAGAGCACCGAGCTTGTTCTTTTCCAGTGCTCAGTAAGTTTTCCATATTGGATATCAAAAGGTAAATCGGAACCCAACACTCATGTCCCAAACACTTCTTCCCTGAGTGTTGTAGCGAGTGGATGAGGGACGCTCTGTACTGATCACTGTTGAGCCGTCAGTGTGGTCCAGCCAGGCCACGACGAAGCCAGTTTCACTCTACCATACAAACATCTGGTCAACTCTCATAATACTATCCCCAAACTAAGCTAACAGTTCATGAACTAAGCTAATGATTTTTGGTCTAAGCTAGCCGTTTCAAATGTAAGCTAGCAGTCTCCGGTCTATGCTAGCAATCCCAGGTCTAAGCTAACAGTCCCCGGCCTGCGCAGTCTCCGATCTAAACTGACAGTCCCTGGTCTAAGCTAACAGCATCCCGGTCTAAACTTACTGCTCCTAACTCAGACGCATCATTCCTGACCTAAACTACCTACCCCCTGATAATACTTCAACTTTCTCGAGCTAAAGTAATAGTTGCCGAAGTGAGACACACCGTTCGTGAAGTAAGGAAGATCTCGCTGGTGGTAGTGACCGGGTTCATCCGGAGGACACTGGCAAGTTAGTGCGTTACTTCCCTCCCCAACACCTGGAGGTCACCTTCTTCGACTCAAGATCAAAACCCACCTGGTGTGTGTGTGTGTCACCTGAGCACCAATTTATTCATTTGTATCATCTCGTCTCTTATATTCATAGTGTTATTTGTGATATATTGTGGTTTGCATGGTGTTTGTCGGATTTTGTATATTGTACTTAAAAAAACGGGCAACCGGATTTTGAGATTTTGTGTGTAGCTTTTTTTCTGATGAATTGTGTGGCTACGAACCCTTGTCTGTGTTCAAAAAAATATTATTGTATGTTATTCAGTATACTTTGCTATATAACCCCACTCCTTGAATATTTGAAGTCAATAGATTATTACAAGACAGAGTTTTTTCAAGGCAAAAGAGACTGTTCACCTGCTGTTGACCCGTTGTTATAAACAGATGTCTGACTTACGACACTGTTGAGGGAGAACACATCCTCTTGATACAGGCATAAGCATTCATATCCTGGAGACTTGCTTATACCCGGACCACGAACCTAACCTAACCTATTCAAACCTAACCTCGTCTAACCTTACTCTACTCTAACTAACTTGCCCCCTCCTCCACCTAAACTATGCTAACCTAACCTAACCTAACTCACGGTTTTAGTATGAAGCTTCAGGCCCGATTCCTGTTCTTGGTCCGGGGGTTAGTCTTGCTGTCAGGTATGCTATGACATGATCGATGATTGCCCAGTATACGAGGAACTGTTCCATGATTATGTATTGTGTCATTCTGTTTAACGAGTTCATAAAGGTTCGTATGAATTTAATATCCTCGTAACTGTTAATATAAAACGTTTCATATTGTTGGACTTCATTTAAAACGCTTTGGTAATGGTTAAGTGCCATAATTACGGAGATTTTCTTTGGAATAATTTCTGTGCCTTAATCTTATCTCCTGTCAGTGGCTACGTTAAGGTTAAGTGCCGGTATGTGTTACTTTTGTGTATTAGATTAAGTCACTGTTAGGTGAATTCTTGAATCTTAAATTACGAGCAAGATTAATCATGCGATTCTCTATGAATCCAGACCTGGTAATACAGTTGTTTTGAAGAGAAATGTCACAATTACTTATATTTAATTTATGAATAGTTTGGATAAAGGTGTCAGTCCTGTGAGTTCAGATCTTCATAATGTGTATGGAATATATTTTTGCTAAACTGTTCATTACTTGTGTAGTTTAACTTGTATATGACGCATTACTACTTTTGTGTTTCCTCAAAGCAATATGTAGAGATACCTGAGTTACCCCAATACTCTACCGCACGAAAGTCACAAAAATGTGATCCAGCCACCTTTGTTTATTGTGTGGTAAAGCAATAGCTTTCAAAATACAGAGGTTTGTGGCGAAACTCATATAATTTATTCATATACAGTAATGCAGGCAGGAGTAACAAAACTATAAGAACTAGTAATAAGAATTTAACAATGTATGAAACAAGAGCATGTAAATATAGTTAAGCCAAGCAGGTGAGACGACTACCATGAGAGGTGTATTGCAAGAACCTATGTGACGGTGACCATCTCGTGTGGGGGTACTTGAGCAATAGGCTATCTCTCGCCCCTATTTACACCCTCAACATTTCATATTTACATATATATAAATACTGTAACCACTATCTTCTGTGCCATCAAAAATTATTTCATAAATCATGACGCATATCGTTGTACATGAGGAGTTATGGTATTAGTGAATGTGGTATTGACATAAACGTAAGCGTCTATGTTGCTGTATGTTTGTGTGTATGTGTGTGTGTATAAGTGTGTTGTGTCAGGTTGTGATCATAACAAAATCTTTAAAAAAGAATAATCGTCGACCATTAATTCATTCTTCAGCTTCATTCATAACTATTCTTTTGTGTCAGATTTATTCCTTTCTGGATTATAAAGGTTCCTTTCATAGATGTACACAAATATGGACGACTGCTAATGACAAATGTAAACAAACGCGACCATTCAGTTATGGCTAATGTTACCACCCATATTGACCTGATTATTATTGTCATCAGGTGTAGACATCTTGTTGATAACCCACGACACTCATCACGCTGGACATAGTGTGTCTGTGTGTGTGTCAGCTGAGGCGAGACATTTGTAGGGGTACTCGCTAATCCCTGGACCCGAAAGCGGAACCTAATCAGATCTAATCTCTCCCACCTTTACCTATCCCTAATAACCCACCTTAATCTTCTCCTTATCAAGCTTACAATAACCTAACTTAACCTAACATGACCATTTTAATTTAATCCTAATATAAACTATGCTATGTTACTGTATATCTAACCTTAATCCGACGTTATGAAACCTAAACTACCCCTAACTTAACATAACCAAACCTAAGTGCCATAATCTATCCTATTTCTAGCTAAATTAAGATTTACCTAATCTACTCGTAATTTAACCTCATCCACCCCAAACTTAACCCACCTCAAACCCAACTTACCCGTAAATTTAACCCCACCCACCCCTAACGTAACCTTAACTTAACCCCACCCACACCTAACATAACCTTAATTTGACCCTACCCATCCCTAACTTAACTCAATTCGTGTTTTAATAGGAATATTTAGACCGGTTCCGGGTTCGGGTGTTAGTACTGAGTCACTCGTATATCGTCAGTAACATTCACCAGCATATCTCTGCCACATAGGTAGAACATACTGGGCAATGTTGTACACGATACCATGGTAGTGGATCAGGCTTTGTATGGGAATGGTATAGGCTGAACAATACCATGGTAGTGGATCAGGCTTTCCATGATAGTGAATCACATATACCATGGTAATAATACAACCATGGACAACAATATATCGAATAGGACCTTAAGACACAATACCACCAGCAGCGGTACAGTACCTCTCAGGTTGGTATGGTACACTAACGAGTCAGGTATACGATAAGCCACATGGTACTCTTCATTAGTACCTTAGGTGGCTCCCATGACCCTACCATACAACCCTATGTAGAGGAAATAGGAGGAGGAGGAGCCATCAGGACCATCACACATTCACTTCTTGGTTTTGTCGCCTCGAGATGTAAACTAATCAGTCAAATTATCTTAACTATAGTGGATTTGGGGTTAATGCCATGTAGCCGCCTCTGGGTTACGTGTTTGATCCAGCCATACGTCCTCTTTTGTCTTTACATCTGAGAGCTGATAAGGATTTGCTTTACAATCGAAAGGTGATCACATGAACGGCGGATACAAAGATGTGAGTGTGTCTGTCTTGTCCAGCTCTTCCTCCTCCCCACACACCCACCGCTGGCCAACACATGAAGGAACGAACACAACACAACATGCTGAAGTGGAACCGCCGTAAGGTTGTTCGACTTTCTTAAACCCAACTGATGATACATAGTCAACTTTCTTTTCCTCTGACAGACATTTTTCATCTGAAATTACAATGTAGAGAATATTAGTAAAATAAAAATAAGAACCTGAACGGGTATTTTATTATTCCGTGATGATATCCTTAGGAAGATGAAGGTTACAGATAAAATATTCAGAATTTATACGGAACAAATTTTACCCTACTTGAAGCTGCCAGAAGACACCTAACTACGGTCCTCTCAGTACTGCTGGACGGCTATAAATGTGTTGTACCTCAAATAAACCTTTTATAGGGTATCAAGTGATCACATCATTTAAGGTGAAAAATAACGCGTCAGCCTCAGTTGTTACGTGCGTACTGTAGATAACACGGCACCCTGCACACAGAAATGGTCCTTGTAAAGATAAAACACTCATAATTGATAACTTTCCTGAAAACGATATGAAAATAATAATAATAATATGCCTAGGGGTTGAACACATGCCAAGGGATGAATATTAATACCAGGAGGTGCATATTCATACCAGGGGAGTTCACACATACAGTACTGTATACCGGAGAGAATGTAATTTTTATGATATTAACTAAAGTACAAACCCAGCCTTAAGGATCCCAGACATTGCACCCAACCACCAACAACTCAAGAAATTGTAATTTATCGTGTATAAAGAGGCCTAGAAACACAGTACTATATACAGCAAACCGAGAGTACTGTACGGTCTGCACCTCTGTAAACTGGTTCCCTGTTGTTATCAATATCAAGCGACAACAGGTATATATTCGCTGGTGGAACGACGGAGTTTATTTGGCTGACGTAATGATAAATAATAAGACATTAGAGGCAACAGTAGTAATGTGTTTATCTCTCATATTTATGTCCCGAGTTCAATCCCCGGCCCGGAACAGAAGTCAGTAGGGTGTTATCTGTTATCCAATGTGACCCTGCCAAACATCACAGGTTTTCTTCGGGTACTCTAATTTCCTCCTGTACTAACACTGGACAATAAAGATCATAACAAAGTAACAAAGAACAGACCAACCACCCGAACAGCTAGTGAACTGATCGATGGTGAAAAAATAGAAAAAGCCAGATCACTAAGACAGGGAGCGTCTTACCATCATCTAACTTACATATGGGTTCGTAGTGACCTGAACTGGCTTAACATAACTACAGTACACCGATTAGCACCAGAATTACTTACTGGGGCCTATATGTTTCCTTTTTTTATCTTCCAGTCACCTAAACTACGAAAAAAGATATTGTATTTAGTATTATCATTATAAATACAGTATACATACGCCCCTCAATTGAACCTTAGAGAACATTCTTAAATATTAATGTCAGTTACGAGGGATTATGATTTTAGTGCAGGTTTGTATAAAATGTCCGCCATAGTTAATTGGACATGATGTTGTGTCTCAAGGAAGTGTAACATGCAGAAGGGTAACGTGTTGGCTCACTCCCTACACTCTCAACACACTCGGAAGCACAAACACCACCAACAGTTTCTGAACAACCATCGTCTGTAGCGTCGCGTGAGTCACCTCCAGTAGTTTAACTTTCCACTGTGTTTATTTATGATGTTTTACAGGGATCTCAAAATGCTAATCTCTGTACAGTACTGTACTGCAGTACATTTACTTTTTGTCATCAGGGAAATATCTTGCAAGATGTAAAGTAAATAAACCTAAAACCAGCTGAATATAGGTTTTTTTGTTTAGCTTAAAGGCGGGGAATTCTTCGCCGAGGCTCGGGTGATTATATGACATAATTCTAATCAACAATTCATCTTCAGACAAAAATATTCATCATCGTTTGGATGCATTTAGCGTGCCACGTAAAAAAAACTGTTCAAATATGACATGGCCTTACATGTGGTAGCCACCAAATTTAAAAACACTCCCACTGTTCCTCCGTCATTCAGACGTCAAACACAGGATCGGCCGGATACAAGATTTCGTGATACATAATAAATGGAAAGTGGTTAAGACAACTTTTATGAGGTAAGAGACGAGTGAAGCAACATGAGAGGTTCGACTCCCGAATAGTGAGGTGTTGTTTGTATATGGATGTCCGCGTGCTTTTTGGACATGATATATATATATATATATATATATATATATATATATATATATATATATATATATATATATATATATATATATATATATATATATAAGCCTTGTTAAGTATTTCTCCTTAGTCTGTACTCACCCCTGAAGATGTGAATTACACGAAAGCGCTTGGGAACTTCGTGTTTTCTTGTTTCCTTGTGGTTATCAGCATATGCTTGGATCACGCGCACTTACAGTGATTTACTTGCATATATATAGAAAGAGAGAGAGAGAGAGAGAGGCGCATGTGTATATGTGTCTATTTAAATTTCCCTCCGTCCCTTAGCAAGTGTCATCATAAGTGACGTCATAATTACTGAGTACATTTTAACAGTTTTTACGGCTTATGTAATGGATAACAAATATTCTATTTAAACGATATTACAAAAAAGTATCAAATAAGAGGTACATTGTAATTAATTTTTATTTTTATTCTTTTTTAAATATAAAATTGAGTTACTATTACCTTAAATGCTTGTATAAAATTAAATATAATAGTCAGAAACAAGACCCCGGAAGCTGTTTACGTCACAGAAGTTCCAACAGGGAGGAAATATAAATGATAGAAACAAGTCATAAAAACAAAGGTTATAAAACAAAAACACATCGTATAAGGTCTATTTATAGTGTTTATACTACCTACAGGAAGATTCACATTGTTTATAATCTTTAAGTTGATTTTCTCTTTGTTCCTTATGAGCTGTAGTTGGCAGTAGAATGATCTTGTCGGTGTCCAGCCTCTAATACGCTGTTTTTAACACAAGTAAGTAACAGTTAACGTCTAGCGAATAACTTATTAGTATGAAGATGTGTCGGTTATGTTCCCGGACGCTGTATTTTAAGATTTTTGTCTCTATCTGACGGGTAGTCTACAAACTTAACTCGTTCACTGTTGGACGGGAAATCTCAGCTGATCGTGTATGTCTATGAACTGACATTAAACATCACTATAAACAGTCACAACTTCTTAGATATTAAGTTTATAACAATGTTGGTATAGATTACGAGGATTAACAAACCCATTCTGCCCTTTAAATGTGGTGAAAGATTTGGGAACATGGAAGATTAAAATCCAAAATGTTTTGATGGACTTAAAGGAAATTTGGGACTTGATTGGTACTGTACATCTTGGCAGGTTCTTGTTAGGGTTAGCTTTTTTTTGGGGGGTGTATATGCGTAGTTATACTTATTTTGTGGAAGTGTAACCCAACATTCCCGGTCCGATTAATTACCCAAATGTAGCCGCAATGAAGTCAAATAATGGTCCTACATGAATAAATCGGACTGCCAATCACTTCTCGACTAGTATTTGGTGTCACAAAGTCACAAAAAATTGGAAAACTTACTTTAATCTGAGTTAATAGATCGCGTGCATGTATCGAGGGAGCGAGTAATTACCTAAATGTACCCAAATGTAGTCGCAATGAAGTCAAATGATGGTCCTACAAGAGTAAATCGGGCTGTGAATCACTTCTCGATTATTATTTGGTGTCATAAAGTCAGAGAAAATTGGTAAACTTTATTTAATATGAGGTGTGTTAGGTTAGGTTAGGTTAGGTACATGCACTCGATCTATTAACTCAGATTAAATTAAGTTTACCAACTTCGTTTCGAGAATTGGCAAGTACCATCAGACTTCATTCATTTGGGTAATTAGTCGGTACATGCACGCGATCTATTAACTCAGATTAAATTACGTTTTCCAATTTTTTGTGACTTTGTGACACCAAATACTAGTCGAGAAGTGATTGGCAGTCTGATTTATTCATGTAGGACCATTATTTGACTTCATTGCGGCTACATTTGGGTAATTAGTCGGACCCCAACATTCCTTTGTATATCACTAATGGTTTTGGCAATTTTGTTTATTAAACTTCTATTTAATGTACATTAGATAATGAATCCAATATGAGAATTGTAAAACAATATTGTCATTACATAAGTGGTAATGTTAAAGCTTAGGTACTTAATGGTCTAAATAATATTATCAACTAGGAACAATTGTAAACAAAGAGTTGTACCATTGCTTGGTCTGTTGTGAGGCTTTAATATCATACGGTCAAGGTGTTGCTATCAGTACCACAAGGTATTAATGTATCATAAGATGTCACTTGAACGCAGTGACACCTTGTGAAAACTTATGACAGATATTGACACCTTATGTTGTGACACATTGTAACACCTTATGATACATTGCGTTGGGGGTACAGTGGTAACGCACTTACACACTTATCTCTCGCCAGTATTTCAAAGGTTCTAGTCCAGCCTGGCCCGGACACATGTGAGATGGGTGTTATCCAGTGTAACCCTACCAAACATCACGGGTTTGCTCTTAAACTAACACCAGATACACCAACCTCCCTAGTGGCTAGTAAGATAAGTGGTGAAAATGGTATGTGACATTCTTTTGACACATTTCTAAACCTTATGACATAATGTGACAGTATTGTATCACTTGAAGATATTTTCTGACACATTGCCAGGAGGTTAATTCAACTTGTTGTAATTTATTAATGTAAACTTTTAAGATTCTGGGTTATGTTAAGTTAGCTTAGGTTTACAACTGATCAAATTCAGTAATCTAGGATCAGTATCATCAGCGTCAATCAATACAAACACATGCCAGACAAATAGCAGAAGTAAGAAAGGGTCTTTGACTGGAAAAGTAATGGTGTTATCCAGCGAATTTTGGGATTTTAAGTTACTACTGTCTGAGGGTGGTTTAGGTTAGGTTGAAATTGTTTTCCTGATGTCTTTTTGTGTGTTTAAATGATTCTGACCTACTTCCAAATAGGTGGATGACTGAAATGATACTTTAACCCAAGTAACCAGTGCCTAAATTGTATATTTATCCAAAGTGGATGGTAATGTGTTTTGATGAAGAGATTGGTAATAGTAAAGGACAAGGGTTTGGGTTAACCAGCTACCTTATGAAAAATCTCTGTAGAAGTAAGCTTAGTTTTAAATTCATATATATATATTTTTTCCGTAAGTAAAGGCTCTCCATGCCTGTCATGTGCTTGACGATGTCAAGTTTGTTCTCCAACTGTCGACAAATGTTTCCCAGCAACTGACTGACTGCTCCAGAATGTTAAGCGATGAAATGCATCCCAAACAGTGCCATACAAACTTACCTCACCTAAAATACTGTAACAACAAATTGTTTGTCTGATCCTGTAGCTTTACTTCCACTATTTGTTTGGCATTCATCCTAATTGGCTGAGACTGATGACCTGGATTACTGAATTCAGTTGCTTGCAAACATGGTATGGTTAGGTCAGGTTTGCAAATGATGGAACTCCATTATAAATTTTGATCAATCAGAATGACTGCCAGACAAATAGCAGAATAAGTAAAGGTCCTTTACCAGAGAAGTAATTAATGCTAAATAATAGTGATATACAGTATATCCATCCTAGGATAGCTAGGTTAGATAGTTTTTGTTGGTTCATATAATCTATGATGAATTATAATAGAGTACATTTACTGCATACCATAATGTAATAATAATCACTGGGAATGTTTGACACTTGTTTAATGGTGTGCTTGGAATGGTAGAGCAAAGCTTCAGAAGCTAAATCCGGGAAAACTCCTAGTACAGTAATATATCCATTATCTGGAACTCCAATGGCTGGAATTGATATTTGCTCAGAAATTTTCCGGAAAATTTCTTTCAATTCCGGGTTTGGGAATGATTTTCCGAGGTTGAAAATCAGGCACATTTTCAGAAAGTTGTAGAAAATCTCCATTTTTTCTGGGTCTGGGAGCAAATTCAGTGGATGAAATAATGTGTAATTCTGAGAAATTCCTAGAAAATTCCCGACACTAATTCTTTTTCTGGTCTGGAGGATTTTCTCCAGGTTTGAGAGAGTTGTCTCATTACCTGGGAATCTCTCATTCTCAGATGTGCTGTACACCAATTGTTCCAGCTAACGGAGATACAGTATCACTACTAATTGTGTGCCTGGAGTAGTGCCATTATCATTAGTACAGTACAGTATTGGGATGCATTTGGGGTAGCACAAATAGGGCAATCAATTCCTTCTGTATGCATCCAATTATAGTACAGTATGTATTTATTGCAAAACAACTTGACAGTTGCAAGAAATAACCTATACATCAATCTCAAGAGGTAGTTTATGTTTTTATGATGGAAAAGTCAAAGGTGAAAGCCATAATTGTGTTGAAGTTTCCACCTGGTATGAGATAGTACCTCGTCTTAGTGTAGTCTGGTTAATAAGGAAGGTTGTTGGGAGTGCAGGTGACTTCTGTACTGTAAAAGAGAAGCATGTTATATATTAAAGAAAAAAAAAACACTTGTGACATTGTTTTCCCATCAATTACTAAAGCTAGAAAGTGTGAGGCTGTGTGTGCTTTCAATGTTATAATGAATTTGGGGGCTTATTTTGTGTGTATACTGTACATGTCTATTTACTGTATGTATAGTATGTGGTGTATTAGTTGGTAAAGAGGAGAATCTAATTAGGTGATGGATTGTTGTTGTTACAATAATATGATGAAGATAGTAACTTGAAAAAAAAATAAGTGTACAGTACTAAAAACTTGACCTCGTTTCTTGTCATGGTGCGTCAGCGAGCATTTGATATTGGTCTATCTAATCTCAGACTGTGCCCCATAAATATAGGCATCACGATCTCATTTACAGTAATAAAGAAGGGTAAGGGTTAATTCAAGAAATTTAGCGTTCATGGAAAATGTATTGTTTGGTGTTGATTAAAGAAAGAATTATCTGTTATTAAGTGGGAGGAATAGTTTTAAATAGAATGGCCCCAAGTAGAAATTTACTGAATATGCTCTCATCATTTTACTGGTGAAAAAAAATGAAATGTGGTACATGCCAGAAAGAACACGATATGTCTCTTTTCCCAAAAGATGAAGAATATTGGCCTGTACTGTACTCATGGGATATGCTGAAGGATCTTGTCCAGAACCTCCATACAAAGTTATTGAAAAGAAAGGTGTGATAATCGGAGTGTGGAAGATACATTCAGTGAAGAGTAGGGTTGCCATAAGTACAGTCATGACATCAATGTTGCCATTTGAGGACTAAAGACCTTTCAGTTTGTTTCCTGCAAGCATGAGGAATGTTGCAGAGAGACTAGTTCAAATTAATAGAGAGCCTGATGTATTTCTTTAAAAGTTCCCTGATAAATTAATGAAGTACTGTGCTGTACCTAAATTTGACTTTATATATACATCCCTTTGTAAGTAGTAGAGATACAGTTTATATCTGATGTGCACAGATTTTCTGTGTGATGTTATGTATGAGTAAACTTTGGTATTACTTGTCGTCATGTAGCATTGTGACACACCACTATCGCCTTCCCTTGAAATTTTGCTAGGCATCACTAACACGTAATGGTTCTTACGTAAGTTAAGGAATGTCTGTAATTTGATTGGCAAATAGACAATGAGCAACAGTGGCATGATTGATAAAGTTGTCGCGTGGAAAATTTGGTCACAGGTAAGTTATGCGAGGTAGAAGCTTCCCAAGTGAATTCCTGGTGAATACAGTATTAGGTTATCACTTGGTTTATGATAACACTTGAGAATGATGTAATAGATATGAAAAGATTTGGGACTGATAAACATAAAAGACAAGATGGTAATTAGTAGTGTCAGGGTTATGAGTGTTGTGCAGTGGCCTGGTGTCTGCTTCACTTTTGGATTTGGTAAATTTGAGGTGTATTCAATATTGCTAACCAGTGTTTGAACAGATTAGGGAGAATAAAGAGTATTTTCTAATCCATGCTCCCATTTTGGAAATGTTATGCAATTAGATAAAGATGATATTACTGGTGGATGTATCTTCCTGTAGAGTTGTACTGTAACAAGATTCCGTACCATCTTTTATTTTTTCTTACAGCTCATTTGGCCCTACAATGTTTCTCTGGGATTGGATCACCGGTGTGCTGGGATACCTTGGTAAGCATTTTAATGTTCATATTTTGTTAGTGAGTATGTACAGTATAATGCTTAATTAGGAATGTAATACAGTATTACCATCTCACTTGCTACAGGTTTTCTACATTCTGAAATTATAATTCTCGATCTTAATTGTGCAGTAGCTAAAACAACTATCTGTGCATACTTTGTGGGAAACAATATGAGACTATGGACGATAAATTTTGGTATACGAAGGCTGTCACTCGTCACACGTAAAATTTTGGAGCATCGACCCCCACCTGCACAGATAGTTGTTTTAGCTACTGTACGTAATAAGTATTTGAAATTTATGAATACCCCTGTACAGAATAATTTTCTTGTACCGGGTATTTAGTTTGCTACATATTACATACTGGGAAAAGTAAATGAGAAATTAGATAATCAGGAAACTAGCTGAGTGCTGTGCTGGTGGAGAGAGTACTTGTCCCCAGTGAGTTTGAGAATAATGGCACATTGAAAGCTTATTTGTAGAATGAATAACATTGAATGTTAGAGAATAATTAAGTAATTATATTGGTGGTAACTGAAAGTAAATTACTGGTATTTGAGCATATTTTCTTTATTACGTTTAGACTCCTCTAGTTGGCTGTGCGACCTATGTATAACCTTCTCCCTTAGTGCTTTCAACCATCATTTTACTGAAAATTCCCTTCCCAAAACAAATGTAAAGTTACCAATATACATTTATGCTTGCACTTACTTCTGTTCTAGCAGATGAATCTTAGGTTGAAAATGATGGGGGGCTGCTTACACTTACAGTATGTACTCTGACACTTATATTGAATTACACTTTATATTTAATATGCACGCAAATCTAACTGATGTCACATAAATTACTTCGCTTCAGCCCAACCTCCTGACTCATATTTTCGGTTTCTCTTCAATTGATAGAGTTCAAAGTGCTGTACCATTCCTTTTCTCTCAATGTTCCTCAGTGGTGTTGTGCCTTTACTTGCTTTAGAGGCCATGATAATACAATAGGGAAGCACTAAATATGAACAAAACAGAGTTCACAGTGGAGCAGTGGTTGCGACAACAAAACCAAGGGAACAGATGTCTTGCCCAACTGCCGCCTCATGCAACCCTATCTAAGCAAGATCTCCTCTGACTCCCTTCACAGAATAAATTGGGGATTGCCTATACAGTATATACTGTACAGTACAACTGTGTTTTTATGATTCATGGTTACAATAGTGAACTGGGCTCATACTGTATTAAAAAAGGCTTATGTTAAGGAAAGTACTATTTTAAAAGTTCAAATGGAAGATAAGGTACAAGAAGGGTGTCCGAAATAAAATTTTATTTGTAACCCGTAACCATTCCATTCCCCCTTTAATAGTGGGGAAGTGGTGTACTCAAGCATGGAAGAAAGCTTTTATGTACTCCAAGGCAAGGAAGAAGGCTTTCACCACCTTTCAGGTGCCAGTTACTAGATTCAGAAGGTTGTGTTGTGTGAAATATAAAGTTATGTTTGATGTGAATGCAAGTTTATTCTCAGGAAAGGTTATGAATTTTTTATTTTTTCCAGTTTTGAAGATAAAATTTCTTCCTACCTTGTGCTAATGGTGAATATGGATGTATACCCCCCTGTAGTGTGCCTGTGTCAAGCTGTTGCTGCTCTAATGAGTTGTATATCCAAACGTCTCTGTTCCACCTGTAGGACGAAGGAAATATGTTATTTTAGATGACTTGTATTTAAATAGTATTTTGGTATAACTATACTGTACTGTATTGTCATTTTGAAGTTAAATGAATAATGTCTTAGAGAATGTTTGATGCATTTCCACATTAGATTACTCTAGTTTTGTTTAAGCTATTAGTGTACATTAATACTGTGCTTGGAATAATAACTGCCTGTCTCTCTTTTGAGGGGTGATGAGCCCCAAACTCAGATGTACATTTGTAGGCTTAGAGAAGTCTGGGAAAACAACTTTGTTGATACATCTGCAGGAGGAAGGTTGGCTGTCACCCGTGTGGCACAAGTGCTGTAAGTCGGTGATGGTCTGGTTGGCTGCATTTTTTAATTTTTGCTAACAATTAGGTCAGTTTCTTTTTCCTTTTTTTTTCTTTTTTTATCTACAAAAATAACTTTTTGCTGCATGTCTGTTTACTTCTATGTACTGTACAGATGTGCCATATTTTGTAGGCTAATGGTAATTTCATTTTGTATCAAATTCTTTGACCAGTTTTGTGAATTATTGTACTGTAATTGGATTTTTTATACCTGTACTTATGAAAACACTTACAGCAGACTAGCAGTATTTTATTAACATTTACTAACAGCCAACCAGACCCGCCAGCCAAAAATTCAGTTAGTCTTCATTGTATCATCTGGAAGTAATACTGTATATGAAAACCAGAAACCCAATTTTTTGGTCAAATGCACTCGTGTAGCTCTAAAGAATACTACATACAACATATACGGAACCTTGTAACTGTATCATATAAATGCTGTATTTGTGGTACTGTACTTAGTAACTGCATTTGCTCTAGAACTGTGCTCCAATTTGGTATAACTTATGGTTAGCTTCTATTTGACAGGTGTTAAAAATTGCATTGTTTTCTGCCTTTGACAATTGGATATACCTTCTGCAGGTTTTGTCAAATTGCAGATTTTTCTTTTTTTGAAATTTGTCCCATCCTATCATGTTCATTTAGGCTAGTTGAATTGAATTTATTTTCTTTGGTTTTATTAATAGACAGTTCCAGTAAACATTTCGTTTATTGTATTATCTTCAAACTGTTTTGGCTGGCAGGTCTGTGGAAGAAGAGTGGGAAGCTACTGTTCCTTGGTTTAGACAATGCTGGAAAAACCACGTTACTCCACATGTTGAAAGATGATCGCATGGCCCAGCATGTACCCACACTCCATCCAAGTATGTATAATATGTCATTTGGAGTTTGATGTGTGTTTGTACTGTTAAGGTATTGTATGTGTGCTTGCATTCAACTTTTCATGTTTTTACATAAATGGATATTTTCAGTTTTTGATGTGTGATATTTATGTACTGTAGTTAACCTGACAGTGAATTATCATGGGTTCAGTTCCCGAGTAGCCCTAGTACACAGAGTAATAAATGAATATTCACTTGATTGTGCTTGGTTATAGTGGAACAACCCTTTGCTGCTAGAAAGCTAAGAATTTGGATATTACTCTTTCTGGCCAGAGAAGCCTATTTTCCTTGACAACAAATATTACTCAGATTTTTGTTGTTGTTGTTTGGCCACTGCGAACAGCATCTATTTTCATATACCTTATTATAGTGTAATGACCTGGAGGTAATTATTTAATGAATAAATATATGAAATTTTAAGTTATTGTAAATATAGATGGTTTGTTATTACATACTGTACTGGACAGTACTATAGTATTGTACATCCATCCTGGCTTGTATGGGACACAAACTATACATTTAGTGATGGAGTGTACAAGTTATTAAGAAAACTTAATATAAATGCAAACAAAAAGATATGATTGCATGTGATCTCCGGTATGGTTGCATGTGTGCGAGAGATCCTGAATGGCATCTGTTGATGTGTGCCAAGAAAAGATGTATTAGAGGTATGTGCAGAGGTGTGCCAAGAGTGGTTTCACAAGTTTTCATTCTACAGGGTTTTTATTTTTAGCTGACCACTGGCAAAGTTTACCAAATTTATTGATGTCTGGGTGGGTTCATGTTTTTTGTATAATAAAATCTTCACAAACCTGATAATAGAAATGTTATTAACTAGATTTTAGTTACTGTATGCAAAACATGTACTGTATATCCATTCCACTACTGTCACTGTAGTTTTTCTACTGATTTATGGAATATTAGCCATGATCCCTAGCTGCAAATTCTCTTTGTTTACTTCTTTCTAAATTATAAGCTAACACTCAGCTCAGCATTAAAGTGGCCTGTTGGTCATTATCATCACTGACTAGTATGAGGCACATGATCCTTACCAATACTACACTACCTTCAGCTGGCTCTGACCTTACATAATAGAAAGATGTAGAAGTAAATTGGAGTGCAATAAATGCTCACAATTGAAAACTAGATAAAGAATGATATAGAATTGTTCGAGATAAGTTATTTGATTGGTTGTAGCCATAGGGAAGCTGGAATGTAACTTTGCCCTCTAATTCTTTAGGACTTTGATACTGTAGCTACCACAGAATATTTCAATAATATTCCAATGGGGGATCAGTACCAGGGAATAAGTGTGCAAGTTGAATGTTTCTGTACATCTGCATACTGATGCATGTATACATGAATAATTTTCACATCAGAGGAATAAAAGGGTTAATGATTATCTCGGAAGACTAAGATATTACAGTAGATCTAAATTGCAGAAGCTGTCTCGACTGGTTATGTAACTTTGTAGTTGAACCTAACATTTATTCAACTTGGCTTTCAGCATCTGAAGAACTAAGCATAGGACAAATAAAGTTCACCACATTTGACCTGGGTGGTCATCACCAAGCACGGAGAGTGTGGAAGGACTATTTCCCTGCAGTAGATGCCATCGTCTTCCTTATAGATGCAGCAGACCGAGGCAGATTTGCTGAATCAAAGGTAAAGTTGTGTAGTAGTTATGAAAGTCTGACTCTCAAAATGGTTAACTAGTTAGGGGACTCCTCATAAAATTTCACACATACAAATACAGTACAGGGTGTCCCTGGGTTATGAATGGGTTCCGTTCCTAAGGACGTTCTTAAGTAAAAAATGTTCCCAAGTCGAAACACATGCTATATGCATACTGTACTTACAAAGCAATGTTTAAAATCCCACTAAATAAAAGCCTAAGTCCTTTTGTACATCTAAAATCACTTAATTTAAGAGAAAAGAACAAATAGAATGACAAAATACTGTAAATGGAAGTAAAAAATAAGTCATCAGGAAAATAAAATACTGTATATTTAAAGTTTATCCTTGTTCTTATCAGCGGGCGTTCGTTTGTCGTATGTTCATAAGTCGGGGACCCCCTGTAATGTACATTATCTTTTTTCATCCTCTACTTTTTCTACAAGTGTGTACTGTATTTCATCCTGGCCTACCATAGTTTAATATAACTTGGTGTATATAAAGGCAATACAATATGTTAACTGTATTTAACACAAGATGTTACCTAGTTTAAAAAAAAACTAAAATTAAAAAAAATCAATTTATTCTTTGAGAAAAGTTGTTACAAATGGCTGGTTAACATAATTTTCTGGATTTCACAGGCTGAACTGGATTCACTGTTGACGGACGACCAACTCTCTAATGTTCCCATTGTTATTCTGGGCAACAAGATAGATATACCTGGTGCTGCATCAGAGGATGAACTCAGGCACTACTTTGGTCTCTTTGGCCAGACGACAGGAAAGGTTAGTTTTTATTCCTGTAGTTGAGCCTTACTTCAACATGGTATACAAAAACAAGACTTTTTACAATGAATAATATGGTATAGCTGTGTTGAAAGTTTGTTCGTCATTCCCTCCATAAAACACACTTATTTTAGATGTGCTCTCCATTGAAGTGTGTGTGTGTGAGGATTTTTATTTACAATGAATCCCTGTGATGTATTGCTTCAATATTTTATGACAGAGATAATAGGATTTTTGTCACAGTGGTTTAAGGCTGACCTAGACACCTGCCGAGTTATTTTAGCTGTTGTCCTTTTGCTCCGTAGTTACTGTACCTGCAAACCCCCATAACCTGTTCATGTTGGTTTATCTTTCTTCCTTGACTTCCTCACCTAACTCCCAGTTAATCTCTTCTTCCTCCAACTTTTGTTATGGAAGATAATTAAAGGGATAAATCAAATCTGAATATACTGTACTTTGATTCATGTATATCAGTGGTCTGCAACCTTTATACACTAGTCGGCTACTTAATGGTGCAAGGAATCAGTTGGCTGCAGGTGTACTAAGCCAACATAAGTCAGCACTAAGTTCCACTGAATTGAATGTAAAATCAGAAATGTAGGACTAAATTTTATTGTGAGAAAATTATATATTATAAATAACACTGATATTTACGACTAAACATAGCTTTCATTTTCAGCATATGCCGGTACATATTCTGCATTGAAATAATAGTGCTAGTCACTAGCCTAGTTAAATATTCTGTAAAGAAATTAAGGAAACAACTTTTAGCAATATAAAATATGTAAATATGAAACTGTCTTCAGTCAGTACAAAATAACAGTTTAACGACCAATTCGCACACGAAATACAAGCATACAGGGGAAATTGCTTTATATAAGTGGTGTAGTGATATCCTGCAGTACACTGTACAATAACCCTCCAAAAAGGATATGATATTATAAATGACGAAAAATATGTTGTGTGTTTTATATACAGGTAAAATAAAGTTTGCTTTTTGCCTAGGAATATAAGGGCTTCAATTTCAAATACAAACAGACAGAACAGTACCAAAACTAATGTGAGGGCTGAGCCTGGATGTGGTTTGCAATTTCAGAAAAAGTTGGTTCAAAGTGTGTTTCAGCAGCTTTCACAAGTTCTGTGGTGTGACTGCTTATGAGCAGCACGGAATGTCTGCTCACAGCAGTATGTTGATTTCCCTCCTTTTTATTTTCACCAAAATATAAGGAATAATAACAGTTTTACCAGCCACATAGCCCATAATTTAGACGTCGTTCAGCCGGCCGCATACGTACCCCTTTCCATCCGCATGCGGCCGGTAAAATGGGGTTTGCGGACCCCTGATGTAGATTGCAGCTATGGCAGTCTTTAGGATACCATGTAAATTTTGTCAATAAGAATGTGGGTTGGTGTTTCATCAGCTACCAGTTTTAAGGTTGATCCATTTTGCTTGGTATAAAAACTAAAGATATAGTTTTTGTCTCAATGTTTTTTATTTTTTATTTCAGAACAAAATTCCCCGAAATGAACTTCCTGGGCGTCCACTTGAGCTTTTTATGTGTTCAGTTCTGAAAAGGCAAGGATATGGTGAAGGTTTTCGCTGGATTGCCAATTACATCGATTAGGTGCAAGTGACCTGGACTAGGGTATGATGATAGTGAAGTTGAACACTGGTGCGTCTGTTACGCCAATTTCTAATCATTGATCCTTCATCGTCGAGAGTGGAAAATTTGGCTAAAGCTTAATTCTGCACTTCGTGACTTAGGAGACATGAAATCTTCAACGTCTCATACTCTTATCTTGGGTGTTACAGACTACTAAGTGCTGCCTGAACTGCAATATTTGGCAGGTTCTTTAATGAACTCACAGACACCAAGTTATATTTATACTCCTTCATTATGTGATGGTAATTTAAATATAATAGTGGATTGTAGCTGGTTAGTGGAGACGATTTTTGTATGTGTAGCTTACCAGCCCAAACTCCCTAACTGCCAGCCTCACCTTTACATGATCCATTCCCATGTTTTGTAGGTTTGATTATTCTTTTAGCTTTGAAAAATGCTATTAACATTTGTGACTTCCATGAACATTAACTACAAATAATAATCTGTGTAATATTACTTTTGAACATCAAGTTGAGCTTTTCATATGTGAATTCCCACAACCCTGAAAACAAAAACACAAATTTAAGAGTTGTAAGATATTAACTACGCAGTGTAGCAGATTGTTATCGATTATTTAAATTACTGTTGTGTGGCAGTTAAATTTTTAAAATAATTTCTTATGAATTTAAGTGATGCCGTTTTCATTTTGGGATGGTGGCCCCGTGCATCATCCCTTTCATTGTGATGCAAGTAGTTGTAATATTTTAGTGCTATGCTAAGTACAGTATAACTAATGGGGGGGTTGTCCTCGAGTACACAGAGGACAGCCACTCTGAAGAACCATCAGCTGAATGGAACATCAGTAATAATAAGCATTCAATTATTTATCGCTTCGGTTATAGTGTTAAGTTGAACTTCACGTGCCGCTTGTTTTTACGTATGAAGCTTGACAACATTGCGCTCCCCTCATTTAGTGATGTAAAAATGTCATTTTCACTATTTTCAGGTTTCTGTTACAAGCAATCTTTGTATAATAAAACAAGGTAAATTAGTATTTGTATTTATTGTGCCTTAATTAAAATCAATTGATAAATTAATCATCTATTATTGATAGTATTACCTGTTATCACCAACTGTTATTATTACCTACTGAAATCAACGGTTGTCAATTATTATTCAACTGCCAGAACTTCACACATTACTGAGTTCCCTAAAAGGAGTGAAAAATGAAAAGAAAAATAGACGACGGTGTTTGAAGATGCTTGAGTGTAATGAGGAACTGAGAGCTAGTAATGATGAACAAGAGGAACTGGATGACTTGGTTTTGGGGAAAGGAGAAGTGAGCAGAACATAATGAGGTGTCAAAGGTGTGAATGGGTAAGAGCAAAAGGAGACATGGCCGTATTCTTGTGAAATATTTTGGTTACCGGTATGTGATAGACCACAAGGGGTCAATCCCAAAAACAAAGCCAATGCTGTGGAAACTTTATTTTTTTGGGTGGGGGGGGGGCGGCGGCAAGACTTTGCGACCTTTAACTTATCAATGTGACAAAGGTAAAGGTCAAATTCATAGATAAGCGAAATTTAGTACACTGGGCTCTAGATTTACATTCTTGGAACACTTTGTGTATCATTGAATATGCATACTGTACATCAAACTTGACTTGAGCTTCATAGCCCTTTGTAACCTTGTTTTACAAATGATACAATTGCCATTATTATTACTCCTACTATTAAAACTACTACAATGATATCTCTGTTCGCTGGAACAATCGGTGCAGAGCACTTCTGGGAATGAGAGATTTCCGGGTAATGAGACTAAATTCTCAAAGCTGGAAAAAAATACCTCGTCCCCAGCACCCATCAAGTGCTACTGATGCTAGTGTAGTGAAGAGGCAACGTAAGACCATTACCCTTGCTACGAAAATGGATGTATTAACCCGATTTGAAAAAGGGGAACGTGCTGTGGACACAGTTGAAGACTGTTTTTGTGACTGAAGTGAGCAGTGTAACTTGGAAAATGTCTAGCAAGCTGTTGCTGAAGGCTCCTGTGTCTAGGAAGGCCAAAGTGCCCAGGAAAACCGTGTCTCTGGACATGAAGTTTGATATTGTGAAGTGGCCAGGCTTGTTCTTAATGATGTGGTGAGTGTTGTTTAATTGTTAATCTATTTTATTAGAGTAGGTTTTCTTTTTTTCAGTGATACAGGTATGCGTTGGACTCGCTGGGAATGTATCCCAATCAACCCCATGCTATATTGAACTCGATTTACGATATTTTGATTTGCGATGGGGTTTTCAGGAACATAACTCAAATTAAAAATTGAGGTTTATCTGTACAGTACTTCAAGTCAAGGTCTGCTCCCTTATCAGCCGACCTATCTTGTCCAAGTATTGTCCATGAAGAACAGTACTGTACTGTCATAATTGCTCCTAAGAAAGAAAGGAGATGCATTAAGAGGAAAAGAGCAGATTATCTGGAATAATACATAAATATAATTAATAAAAAAAAGAAGTAAAATCTAAGTGGTAATTCACAAAGAACATAGAAGATATTCCATTTGGAAGAGTGAAGAAATTCTATGGCAAAAGTAAAGATAAAAAAATAAAAAGATCCTGGATGTATTATCAAGGTACCTAGGGAGGAAAGACAAATTTAAAGATAATAACATAGATAAAAAAAGTATATAGAGGACTTGCAACTTCACTACTGTAACCAGGAAAACATAATGCAGGACTAAGAATCATACAAGGATGTTTTAGTACAGGACGTACTGTAATTTATTTGCGATGACTCACTACCAAATTAAGCTCCCCTCAGTAAGTGGACATGATAGAAAAGCCCCTTGGCCTCCCTATCATGACCTATTTCTTGAAATCTTCTTCTCTTGTTACTTTTTTTAGCAAAAATATGAAAAATAGAGCTCTATTGTATGGCCTACCTATTCTGCTCTTGTCTCTTGTGTACAGTACATACAGTTGACTAGGCCTCTTGTGTGCATTACAGTTGACTAGGTAATAGTACTATTAAAATGCAACTATAGTTTTAAACCAATAAATTCAGAGTGTTATACACATCCATAAATAAAAGTTAAAATAAAATATTAAAAGTCTTATCCAAAGCAAAAAATCAAACAAGCATAAACATATTCAACATGTAAAAGGTATTTCAGTGTCATAATAAAATTATATATATTTTAAAGGCTATAATATTAACAATCACAGTAAAAAGGTGATGGAGGTACAGTTTGCTCACACTCTTGCAAGCCCTCTCCTGCAGTGGCATAGGGTGGCTATATGTTTATTCTTTTCAGCTGGCTTACTGAATGTATTCTGCAATGTATAGAACAACAAAACATTATCTCTTGTTTAAAGTTTGAGTCAGGGATTCTACTGCTGATGATAGCCGATTTATGTCTGCATGCATGATCTGCAATCCATTATTAAATTGCTCCAAAGACCTGTTATTTGCTTGAAGGCCCTGGTAAATTAACTTTAACACCTTTGATTGTTCTTTTAGTAGAGCACTTGTGTGTGCATCTGAACTTTCATTTCTCATATTCTCATTTTTCTCCACTGACCCTTGACTCTCTATTGATTCTTTTGTTTCGTCTTTGAATGTTGACATTTCATTTCCAGATTCAATGGCTGCAGAAGTTGAAATTTTACGGCGCTTGGAATGGACTGAAGGAAAAGAGGTACCTGAGGAACTGTCTAGTTGACATGAAGGGAGAGGTGGAGGTAATGTGTCAACTGAGGGACTGTTTGGCTTACACTCAGGGTGACCCAACTGAGGTACAGAAAGAAAGGAGCTATTTAGCCGGCACTCAGGAGTGACACTGGAAGACTCATCTAGTTCTTGCTTTATACAAAGGGTAGGTGATGAACCTAAAGAACTGTCTGGTTGATGTACAGGATGAAGTGGTGATAGAGGAAGAGCAGCAGAATGACCATCTGGTTGCTCACTAAAACAAACTGTTGGCGAAGTGAAAGCTGGTGGGCAATATGGCTGACTGTTTGGTAGGACTTGAGATAGAGTGATGGCTGAAGTATTTTCTTGTGAAGTTTTGGGTAAAAGAGGTGAGAGAAAGTGAGAATGACTGGTTACAGGAGTAGGCATAGAATAGACTGGTGCATTAGGAGGTGGAACAGAGGAAGATGATACTGGAACTATAATTAATGAAGAAGTGTTGGGAAGATTCAGGTTTTGTGTTGGCAGCTGTGTTAAAGTTGTTGACACAAGAGAAGTTGCAGCTGTTGAGACACTACTGGTAATGGGAAACTGTGAATTTGTTGTAAGTATATCCACAGTTGGTCCTAAAGATGTTTTGTCGTTAGGTAAAGAGCCCATGATCTTATCCATCATCTGAAAGAGTTCAACACTACCATTAATTATGGGTAGTTACATATCAGCATAAATATTATGAATTCACATCCACGCATTAAAGGGGTGATAACTCAGAATTTCTTCTAAACACAGCTTCATACAGTAAACCTCGATTTCAGTATGGGTCACAGTACTGTCCTGGAGAATCCCACAGATATGTAGCAGCTACACAAAAATGTCTTTCTTTATTTGCACTTTGATTTCCCAAAGACAAAAAATAAAAAAAGTATATATCTCTCACATTCAGCAAATAGAAAAAGAAACAGAGTTTGTAATAAATACTGCATTTTGAGCTTTTACTCAACACTACTGTATTTGAATTTACAGTGAGCTGCAGTCAAACATTTTGATGGAAGGTTTTACATTACATGTGCCATCTTATTGAGTGACTCTGTAGCTCAGTGGAAAAGCATTTGCTTCAATTCCCAGTTAAGGCAGAGGACTAGGTTCATACCTTGTACACTAAGCAATAAAATGAATACATTAACATTTGCATATACCCTGTACTGTACTATATTAGAAGTAATTTTTTCAGAGGTCTAGACTTATACTTAAAGGTTGGGACAACCTACTTAGTACCGAATCCTACAGAATAAGATAATCAATACTTATAGTAATAGGCCTGAAAGGCTAAGAAATAAAAACAAAGACTGAGCATAATGTAAATTTATCAGTTTAAAGAGAAACAAAACATAATCTGACCTGATAAAGAAATAAATACAGCACAGGTATCCCTTGTTTAACGAAGGGGTTACGATCCTGAAAACTTAACAATAAGCGAACTTATCGTTAAATGACGGATTACAGCAAAGTACAGAGTGAACAAAGGTTTCAAATGGCAAGGCAGTAAACACTGAGTACAGTATAATACAGCAAAGTATTTCCTAATAATAATAATAATAATACAGTAATAATGAGTTTGTTACAAATGGATTTGAAGTTATACAATTAATTTTTAACACCAAGCTCCTATATAAACAATGTGGTTCAGAGTTAAATGATTTAGCGAGCACAAAGTACACCTAATTTCAACAAATTTCAAATTGCATTTGTCAAAAAAAATAAAAATGCTATGATAAACAATTAAATAGATAAATACATAAATATCATAAACTACAACAGCACATATTTTATGTAAAAAAAATAGCTCCTTCCACACTCAAACCATCCACTGGGTGACACCAAACAATTCAGTCGGGCAGTCACCGAGCTGATTCAGAGACATGTGGCTACTGCTGTGCTGCGCTATGTGTATGCTGTGATGTCACATCAGGGGAAGGATCACGGTGCTGACAGGGCTGGCAATATAGTTACATGAGCCTACTGCCTGCACACATACATTCATTTCCCACACATAAATACCCATGCTCTTCATTTTTCACATTTTATAGTTTTACAGTACTGTACATTATATTATCTTTATTTCTAAGCTATATTAGAGTACAGTATTGTAATGATTTTCCCACAACTCTTATAGTTTCATTACATGTAACAGGCCACCTCATCCTCAGTTTTTCCCTCTTACCAGTGAGTTAAGCTATTGCTAAACTGAATTTTTACGAACAATAAACTAGAAAGGATGTCAAAATTTGTTTACTGCTAAAGTGAATTAAGGCTAAATGAGGGATAGCTGTATGTTCCATGAAACTGTTTGTGTAAAAATAAATAAAGGCATAAAAAAATAAAAGCATAAAAATTAAGAGACAACCAAAACAAGTTTAAACTTACTTCATAATATTCCCAGAATTTGAAACCATTAGCAGTCCTCTGCCTCTTATGAATTCTGTATGTTCTGAGTAAATTATGCCACTTTCGCTCTACGTGCTCAGCCACAAGACGAAAGCCCTCTTTAGTAAGCTCCTGGGAGATGTGTCTCCAGATGTCCCGCTGTTTGATGTAAGGGCTGTGTAGTTTATCAGCTTCCTGTAGCATCATTTGTAAAAACAACTGTGTGGCTCTGCTCGACCATTTTCCAACACCTTTGTGAAAGACAACCTTGTCTTGCAGTTCACATTTGTAAAATAGGAGAACAACTTTATATGGTAAGAAAGGGGCTACGTTTAGTTCTCTTTATTAGCTCTTCCTAACTAAATGGGATGAAGGAGGGAAGAAAGACATTCTAATCCCCTAAGAAATTAATCAGGACTATCAAAAATATTGGGGGAAAATGGAACGTAATTTTCACACTGTAATACTGTACTCACAATCCAATATTCATGTATTTAACAAATAAGTAACTGTTATAATATTGCTACAACCAAACCTAACTTAGTACTACTATCACCAACCCTAACAGAATACTGTACAGATATTCACCGATTAATGAGAGAATTCCATTCCCGAAAAAAAGCATATACAGTACTGTATAGAAATAAATTTTTCATAAACTGGATCATATTTTCCCAGTGACTCCTATTATGAAAGCTGAGATACATTCCCAAGGAAAAAACAAATAATAAAATAAAATAAAATTCCCTTAAAAGTCTTAACATGCCACAAAACATGTTTTTAATGAAAATTTTTGGTGTACAGTACACAATGATTATAAGCCATAATAAACATTGTAAGTGAAATACAATACAGTAATGTTTTTGATAGCCTGGAACTCTCCATTACCGAGATTTTTTTGAGTAGTCCGAAAAATTTCGGGAATCTCTCTCTATTCTAGGCATTCAAACGAATTTCCGAGAGATTGCATCATGCGACTGCACGTGCTGAGTGTGTGGATGCATAGGCTCAGAGTACTCATGAGCTACGACTGGCTACTACTGTCATGTGACCGCATAGGATGCCTAGGATTGACTGATGTATCTTGCAGCCTATTTCCTCAAACTCAAGCATCATAACACTAGTAGCTCATTGTACAAACTTGTTCCCTTGCTCACTGCTGTTTTAGCATACAATCTGTGTTGTGCAGTACTGTACATTAGTGTACTGTACTGAAGTCATTTCCCTTCTCATATCATTAGACACTACAGCAATCTGATATATCTTAATATAAAAAAATTCCAGCTTGTCACTAAAAATCTTAAGTGGTTTAAGTACAGTATAGTGCTGTTCATTTATCCAGTTTTCAGTAAGTTAGATTTGAGACTCCATTGCTATGGTGTTGTGTGGTGAATAATATTTGTTTTTACTAGCAATTAAGTGGTCCTGGATTTGATTATCTGGCAGGGGACTCTGAACATGCCAGTTATGCTTCTCCTAACTCAGTTCCTAATGCAGTACTGTAACTGGCTGTGATGGCTGTTCAGTAGTACATCAAACCTAAACAAAGAGCATTACCTGATAATTTCCTTGATACATCTGCACTATAGAGTCCCTCTTCATTAGATGACTGAATATGATTCATAACTTGTGGTGCTGTGGTTGGACTCTCTTCGTGTCCAGGGGAAATCGAGCCATTTATGATGAATAACCTATCACTGGGTTCCTGTAGTGATGTTTCTGTATAAATATAAATACTGTGCATAGATAAATGGAGAATAAGAAATAAATAAATATGTGCATATCAGAATATAACTTTACCAACACCATGGGAATATGTGTAAGAAAGGACTATTAAATAAAATTATTACTGAACAGGAGTGGTTTTCTGCTAGCATTAAACCAATACCTGTAATGTATTAACAAAGCCTCCTAAAAGAGCATCCTTCACAGCAGATGTAGGAGAAAATGTAAAGATCCAGTAAAGAACAGCTACTGCACTAGAATTATTAATGGTATCATATTAAATTGTTATCTGTTAATATTATGCAGTATCGTGGTGTAGATAATAAAGTACTGCATCAATAAACAGAATTTGGTCTGGTTGTTAAAATCTGGGAGAGCCTAATACCGATTACCCTACACTATAAAAGGAAGAGATTTGGAAGATATTACAAAAATAAAAACCCATTACCTGTACATCAACAAATCGATGCAAGATAAGCATAATTAATATTATTAAATTTCCTATGATACACTTGTTCTCCCACTGAAAGGAAGTCAAATTCTACTTGGTCAAAAATGAGGACTAACATGAATACTGGTCTTAAGAAAAAACTAAAATTAAGTAACAAATGTTTTATAAAATATGAATGTTCAGTGGTGTCCTATTCCTAAACCCTCACCTTTGTTATCAAAATAAGCAATAAATGTTATGAGCATCATCAATAAACACTATTAATATCAACAATTAATTACACTACAAGCATCAAATATCTATCATCTCAGTGCTGTCCCTTTTCAATTGAAAAAAAAAATGTTAGACATGTACAGGTACTGTATATGGGGAATTATTTAATGACAAGTGCCAGGTAGACACGATTATGCTTCAGTAGGAATTGTTGGCTAACTTTATCATTTTATTTTTGTTTTATTCTATCATTTCACAACTTATCTTCTTACTAATTGTTCGGAGGGTTGATCTGTTCTTTATTACTTTGTTATGACCTGTATTATTAATGTTAGTACAGAGGGAAACTGGAAGGACACCCGTGATGCTTGGTCGTGTCACATTGGTTCACATCTGACCTGTTCCGGGGTTCCAATCCAGGACAAAGATAAGATACACCCGCGTTACCAATGTACCACCATATGGAAATAGAATACAAGTTAACTCTAAGATCTATTTTAAATACTAGAACAGGTTATATAATATGAAAATTAATAACTACAGACAAGTACTTCTCAGTTCTCAATAAAGTGTGTTGGGCCAGTCATGAATAGGCGACAGCTGTAACTTTACTCCTCCTGACTTATGTATACTATTTACAACTAAGTACACATTTAATAATCCTGATACAGACTCAAGTGTCGTTTTCTTTCGGTGCAGAAGCCGTTATGCCAAGAAGCATTTCCACAAAGTACCCATTCCGGTTAATGATCAGTTCCTGCCTTGGTTATAAACATTCATTAACACGTACAGTCACTCTTGTCGTTGTTTTCTTTTGGAACTTGGGTGAATCATGAAAATTTTCCGATAATCACGCATGCAACAACTAACCTGCAATAACTAATGGATGAATGAACACATCTAGAGATTTATCACTGTCACCAGATGAACAACAGGCTGACATGTTTGATTATTACAAAAATCAAGCCTGATCCTCCGGGGCGATCAGGCTGCTGTGCTGCCATCTGTTGATCAGGCACACCACCACCACCACCTGCAAGACACTTTAATTAATAAATATAATTTTAACACTTTAGACATGTCAAACTGAGCTTTATTTTGAATTGTTAAACACTTACCGTGACGAATAAATTAAATAACTGACAATATAAAATAAAACATGACCCAATTCTCTCATCAGTCGCCCTTATAATTTGTTGTTGTTTACTGCCTGTGTCATTCTCCCCTTTCCTAACACTTCCTTCAGGCAATTCGAAGTTTCCGTAGTGCTACACAGACTACGGCCCGTGGAGGTGGGTAGCTCTGTTACTCCATAGTGCCGAGATGTTTATAAAACAAGAAAGATGACGACTGGTGGAGAAGCATATCGTTGTAGTGGCTGTGATTTTGTATTTACAGATGTCCAAGAAGTATGTGTGCATATACAGACCGCAGTAAGTATTACAAAGACTTCAAGTATACATAATTACGGCATTGGATAATTTCATACGATTCCGAAAACATGTGCTGACGATTTAGGCATGAAAACCTTTTTAATGGAGTTATTTATACTGATTACAGACATTGGTGGTATTGGAAGTTTGGGGAAATGTATAGTAATTAAATTTGGACATCGCCAAGACTCGCAATGTGATAAACGTAACCAAGGTTTATGAGACTTCAAGAGGATAGCTCACTCCTTATTAAAGTTTTCATCCACCTTCCGACAGTGGCGTCGCCAAGCGACCGGAAAGTAAAACATTGGCTTATAAGATATGCAATCGCACCAGATTATTAAATAAAAACAGTTATGTACGGCGCAGCAAAACAACCAAACCAGGAGTTCTGATAATAATACAAATTATCGACTACACAATCTCGAGAACGTTCCCAGAAGGTTATGATCGAGAAGACCACAACAACAGCCTTAACGCGCCCTATAGTGAGGTGGAAAAATAGTCTTTCTTCATTTCCTTGAAATGAGTCTGTACTTTTTTTTAAACCATTGAATGGTAGGGATGGCAGGGATTTTTCTCATCTGAATAAAACTGTCAAGCGTTAGCCGGAATAAAAGAACTAAGTGCGACACTACTCCTTAAAGGGTTAAGTGAGAATACTGTCAAGCAAATTTACAAGTAAACCAGTAACCTCCTGTAGGCCGAAAAAGGTAAACGTTTGTAATTAATTAACACTAAGAAAGCAATGGCTGATGGCTGAAGGTCGTGCAGATATTTGAGTAAAACTTGATGGCCAGGTAAGAGGTCCAGGCAGATTAGATTAACTACAGTAACTCAGGTGTCGATGTAAAGATTTCTTTAATACTTCACATGTTGGTCTAACGGTTACCGTACTATCGGCGTGGTAGCTGTAAGAGAACAGTTGGGTCTTGCCACATACACTCCCTCCAGGCTGTGTAGGGGCGTGGGGAGGTGTAAGTAGAGCACTACGTCATAACGGCACAGCTGCTACTCCATTACAAAGAGTACATGAACAATCCGGAGTCTGGTCAGTGGCTACACTGTAATATTATATACACTTTGTGGGAGACCCAATACCTTCCCCCACTGCATCATGACATGTTCCGAAATCTTCTCGTATACGTAGGTCCCCAGCCTTCATCACGTCGTCTCTTCCTGACCAAATAATCCTGCTCGTACTGGTGGCACTTGACATTATTAGAGATCTGCCACTCTTAACAACATATGAACCTTTACAGGGAATCCTCTTGTATACACCTATCCTTCCTTAACTACATGTAACTTGCTAACACAACCTGTGATACACTCACCCATTCTTAAACTAAAAAACTAAAACTCTCTAAAAGTAAGCATGAACTCTGTTTCGAGCCCCACGAGTAATACTGTACCCAGCGTTGAGACCTGCAAGTATGCCGAGCGGTTATTGTGACTGGTCGAAGGAGGGGGAGGAAGGGGCCAAGTACTACACAGCCTTGACTCTTGTGTCTCTACTCCCTCCCTACCCTTCTTCCCTTCCCCCTACCCCTACATCCCCTCTCTCCATCCCCCCCCCCCCCTCTTACATCCCTTTCTTCACCACCCTCCTTTCCCAACACCCTTTCCCTCCATCACCCTCATTCCCTCCCTCACACTCTTTCCTTTACCTCTGTTATTATTAGGAGTTAAAATCGAGGTATCTAAGCATTATACGAACACGTTACAGTATATTTCTGTAATGAATAACACAACATATTTCTAAATAGTATGAGAAAGTACTGGTGACCGCTTCTCTCCCACTAGGTATTATTAGCTGTACTGAGCGTGGTTTAAATACACCGAGTAGGCCTGTATAACCATGGCCGAGCTTAGTGTGTCAAACGTGCCGTGTATTTGTTAATGTAAGACGTGTGTTTTGGGTGTCTGAGGCTCGTGATGTGTGTCAAGTATGTGCTGTCAGCACAGTGTGTTAAGTACACCAGAAGCTGTGTTAATACAGCTGAAAACATACGACAACGCAACTGTCAACATACGATAACGCAACTGTTAACATACAATAACGCAACTGTTAACATACAATAACGCAACTGTTAACATACGATAACGCAACTGTTAACATACAATAACGCAACTGTTAACATACAATAACGCAACTGTTATACATACGATAACGCAACTGTTAACATACAATAACGCAAAGGTTTTATCCCCCATCGCGTAAAGCCAAAACAAAAATACTTTATTAATATTTTTTACCTAAGCGCCATTTTTAGTTGGTTTCAGAGACTTACAAAATGATGTTACGTTACAAATATTAACAACAATGATTAACAAGATGAATTATTTTAACATTATGATCAGTTGTTAGTTATATACCAACGTTGTCTATAGACATTATATACCTACATTGTCTACTTACACCCTGAGCGAATATGAACTTGTATATTGATTTTACTGAATGTCTATCTATCTGTCTTTCTGTCTGTGTTTATCTGTTCGTCCGTCCGTCTGTTTGTCTGTCTGTCTGTCTGTCCGTCCGTCCCATCCATCTATCTATCTATGTATCTATCTAAGAAAATGGTAAGAGAGTTGTCGATTCCTTACTCAATAGTCTGTACCAGGGAGAAAATAGACGCAAGAGGTTGACTAAGGTGTTGAGGTCAGCAACAGGTGGCAGCCGGCGGCCTGTGATGGTGGTGACGGGTAAAAGTAACACATAGGAATACTGGTAGACAAGCGATAAGTATCCTCTCTGGGGTCTACCTTTCCGTCATATTGGGATGAAAGTGAGAAAAACAATGAAAACGAGAGTGGATGAAGGAGGGAGGGAGGTAGAGAGGGAGGAAGGGAGGAGGGAAAGGAGAGAGAGGGAGTGAGGGGGAGGAAGGGAAGGAGAGGGGAGGGAGGGATGGAGGCATGGAGGCAGGCAGAAATTCAACTGTACTAGAGAGGAAAAATATAATATTCTAACCTCCGATGTGGTAATTTTGTGACCTCCATGTGTGTATTGGTGTTGGGTAGAGGCGTGAGGATGCGATTAACCTTCCTGCGTTTGCGGACAGACGGTTCGACACAGCACTGACCCACATTGTGTTCACAGAAGAGGGTATTAGAATTAAACTGTCAAAGCTAAAGGTCCATAAGAGTCCCGGCCCTGACATGGTGCATCCCAGAGTGTTAAGAGAGTTATACAACGAGCTTGCCGAGCTCCTGAAGATCCTGTTTTGTAAATGCCTGGATGAACAAAAGGTCCCAGTGATTGGAAAATGGCTTATGTGAGTACCTATTTTCAAGAAGGGCGACCATCACTCCACGAACAACTGTAGACCGGTGATCCTGACCAGCATAATATGTAAAGTACTAGAGAGACTGAATGTGAGAAGGACCTAGGTGTGTATGTTGACAATGAGGTGAAGTTCTCGGGCCATTGCGAGAATAAGGTAAATCAGGAGTACTGTCACCCTGTCTGGTCCCCGAGATATGTTAGGGACTGTCAGTTGGTTGAAAATGTTCAAAGGAGGGCCACCAGACTGGTGCCTGCACTTCGGCACCTCAACTTCCCTGAGAGATTGGAGCGCCTGAACTTGCCTAGCTTATACTACAGACGGGCAAGGGGCAACCTGATTGAGTTGTATAAGTATCTCAAGGGGCACTACTCAGTCGAGTGTCCTTACTTGGAGCTGGCGGACGCTCGCCCCACAAGGGGTCACAGCTCAAGATTGAAGAAGCTGCAGGTCCAGAAAACTGTGAGGGCAAACTTTTCGGAGTGAGAGTTGTGAACTCTTGAAACAATCTGCCGGAAAGTGTTGTGACGGCACCGAGTGTGAGCTCTTTCAAGACAAGACTTGACCAACACTGGAGCAGGTTCAGGTACATTCAGGAGCCGGTGCATGCCCAGTGCTTGCCAACAGTGCGTAACAGAGACGTGATCAATTGCCCATGCAGCTAACGAGCCGATCAGTGGTGAAGAGGATAAAAGTAAAATAATAGATTATTTAAGTTTAGCCGGTAGAAGGGAATATTAAGTAAAACTCTCTCTGCACTCATCAGGATTCCACCTTGACCCAAGCCTGATGGGTGAACTCTGGAGAAGGTATTATTATTTCAACCAACATCTGGATGAATAAGCTGACCATCACCCTCCACTTTCCTCTATCAAGCTGTGGATTCAAGAACATCACTGGGTTTGAAAATAGATCTTACATAGGCCACTGATCTCCCCCTTTCCCTCGGCATGACTACCTCTAGTGGGTGACCATTAGGTAAATGAGGTAAAGTAAATAATACATTTAGTATAGTAACTTTATAATGATTAGCTATTTAAAGTATTTAGAAACGTGTATAATAGAGACATTAATATACGTCACAGTGTCTCAGGTAACCGGCCCAGTATTCCTATTCGACATTTAAGTTAATCCAGTTTTAACCCAAACGAGATAACCTTTATATCTCTTTGTTTACGGTAGTGTAGGCGAGATTGAGGATTATATTTGGTTATGTTAGTTTGAGTTATTACAATATATATAGTTTTCACCGGATAACTTTGGCTTAAATATAATTTTTTTTATAACAAT